TTTTGAAGTTTCAGTTACCCTTAGTGAACTGAGGTCCAAAAATATTAAATGGCAAGTTCCAAAAATAAACAATTTGTAAGTTTTAAATTGAGCACCATTCTGAGCAGTGCATGAAATCTTGCGCCCTCCCACTCCACCCCCGGATGTGAATCATCCTTTTTTATCCAGTGTATCCACGATGTACACCCTACGAATCCGTTAGTCACTTAGTAGCCATCTCAGTTATCGGGTCAACAAGACAGAATGCTGCCACGGTCCCAGCTACTCAGGAGGCTGCGGAGGGAGGATCCCTTGAGCCTAGGAGTTTGAGGCTGCAGCCAGCTACCACCATGCCTGTTAATAGCTACTGCACTCCAGCCTGGGCAACATAGCAAGACTCTGTCTCAAAAAAAAAAAAATTTAAACTTAGTATAATATATATAGGGTTTAGTACTATTTGTGGTTTCAGGCATCCACCAGGGGTCTTGAACTGCTATAGCCCTCTGACCCTTAAAAATAAAATGGTCCTGTGGGATTGTCTCCAGGGCAGTAGCATCTGGAGAAGCCATGGAGATCAAGTTCCAGGTACAGCCAGTGTTGTAAGAATGAAGATTTCAGGGACTGCTGACAGTGGTGGAAACCAACTACCAAGCTACCCTCGATGCCTGGCAGCTGCAAGATGGAAGAAAGAGGCTGCAGGCAGCTGGCCTGCGACTGGGTGTGTGGGAGAAAAGCCTGCACAGGCCATGGTAAGCTGGGAGGTGCCTCACTCATTCCCTCATTCCCTTCCTCATACCCTCCCTCACTGCCTTATTCCATAGTTACTGGGCTCCTCCTGTGGCCAGCACTACCAGGTACTGGAGGATTCAGAACTCCCATCAAGGATTTCTTTCTTTATTCTCCCTAAAGGCCCTTTTCTGGGAACAACAATGTCTCCCTCTCTTGCCTCTGCAAAAAATAAAATAAAACAAAATAATCCTTAATAAGAAGTGATCAATTACCTTTCACATTTTCTTGGGTTCCAATCATAGCTCTGCCATTGGTTAGGTTTGTGATCTATTTCTTTCTCCTCTTTAGCTTTAATTTCCTCACCTGAAAAAAATGGACATATCAACAATATCAACCTCAGAGAAATAAATGGCACAGTGTAACATACATAGAAAGATTCTTAGCACAATGTTCAATACTAAGCAAGGCCCACTTGATTTCTTGTTTATTATTGTTCTCCTTGTTTTCTGTTTTTTTCCTAAAAACTATGCCTCAAAACCCTTGGTCATCTTTGTGAGGATTCAGAGGCAAAGGAAGGAGGAGGTTTCCCAGATCTCACTGGGCAAAGAGGCTGAGGTGGGACGCTGCCCACTGCCGTGGTCACCTGACAGGCACAGGGCAGTTGGGGCCCTGGGAAGCTTTCTGGAGGGATCAAGGCAGAGTCAGGGCCCTCTGGGTTTAGCTCAAACGGTCCTGGCACCACAGTCAGGATTCCTGCTGCTGTTGCTGCAAGAACCAGCCTGCCAGTGCCCTCACCACACTTGTTTCTTCTAGTTTAATTGCTCTTCTCCACCACCAGAAGGTAGGAACTCTGTAGGTCTAGCTTGCTTTCTTTCCTTGTTTTCTTCTTTCTTTCTTTCTTCTTTTTCTTTCTTTCTTTCCTTTCATTTTTTTCTTTCTTTCATCTTTCTTTTTTCTTTCCTTCTTTCTTTCTTTTCTTTTTCTTTCTTTCTTTTTTGACACAGAGTCTCCCTCTTGTTGTCCAGGTTGGAGTGCAATGGCATGATTTCAGCTCACTGTAACCTGCACCTCCCAGGCTGAAGCGATTCTCCTACCTCAGCCTCCCAAGTAGCTGGGATTACAGGCATGCACCACCACGCCTGGCTAATTTTTGTATTTTTAGTACAGATGGGGTTTCATCATGTTGGCCAGGCTGGTCTTGAACTCCTGACTTCAGGTGATCCATGGCCTCCAAAAGTGCTGGGGTTATAGGCGTGAGCCACCGCGCCCAGCCTCTAGCTTTCTACTGAATGCCCAGTGCCACATGCACCATGCATGGGGGACATGCTTAAGTGTTTGTTGAATGAACAAACCAGGACAACTATGCAGAGTAAGAAATAAGATTCATTTGCTCATAGTAAAAAACCAAAACAAATCCAATGTTTACCTAGCTCTAATCTGAGCAACATAATTATAGTCAAACTTTGGACAGTAGACTCACCACCTAAGCAAGACCTGTATCCATTGTTACTCACTTTCATGTTGGCCCAGGAGAGTAGCAAAAGGAGATGCTGGGTGCTGTTCTCTTGCAAACTTTAACCATCAGCTCCAAGTGCTGACGCTGTCATTTGAGAGAGCCCTCTGAAACCTGGCTCCACTCCAGGAAATGCCCAGAAGGATGCCAGCTCGGAGCTGTGTTTCTTCAGGGTTCTGGGATTTACCCTTACATTAAAGTGGAAGTGCCTATAACACAGGCCTGGGGTTGACGGGTTGTAGTATCAGTCAGGAAGCCATTCTCCTCTATTCTCCCTACTCCTCAGACCTGGTGTCCCCTCTCATTCCTGGCCTTGCCCCCAGTCATTCTGACAGCCTCAGAAGGGCGCTCTTATATCAGGAGGTACCGTGGGTAGCAGGAGACGTACTGAAATAGTAGCAGCTATGTGCTAACTACTTTCTTGCATTATCTCATGTCCTCTTCAAATTTTATTTTATCCTCAGTTCTGGGATACATGTGCAGGAGGTGCAGGTTTGTTGCACAGGTAAACGTGTGCCATGGTGGTTTGCTGCACCTATCAACCCATCACCTAGGTATTAAGCCCATGCATTAGCTATTTATCCTGATGTCTCCCTCCCCCCACACGTCCCCTGCCACAGGCCTCAGTCTGCCTCATTTCCCTCTCTGTGTCCATGTTCTCATCACTCAGCTCCCACTTATAAGTGAGAACATGTGGTGTTTGGTTTTCTGTTCCTGTGTTAGTTTGCTGAAGGTAATGACTTCCAGCTCTATCCATGTCCCTGCAAAGGGCATCTCATGTTCTTTTCACAGCAATCCTGTAAGGGAAGCACTAGTTTACCTATGCAACAAACCTGCACCTCCTGCACATGTATCCCAGAACTTCCATGCTATAGATGAGAAACTCAGGCTGAGAGAGTATGAAAAAGTGCCCAAGGTCACTCAGCTGCTAAGAAGCAAGACTTGAGCTATGATCTTCACACTAGGCTGCATCCTAGTGGATTGGTATGACCCAAGGTGCCTCCAGAGCTAGAGCATGGTCGGTCTCAGTCATTTCCTTGCTCCAAACAATACCATACAAACTTTTAAAAAATTTTTTTGAGACAGAGTCTCTCTCTATCGCCAGGCTGGAGTGCAGTGGTGCAGTCTCGGCTCACTGCAGCCTCTGCCTCCTGGGTTCAAGCGATTCTCCTGCCTCAGCTTCCTGAGTAGCTAGGATTACAGGCATCTGCCACCATGCATGGTTAATTTTTGTATTTTCAGTAGATACTGGGTTTTGCCATGTTGGCCAGGCTGGTCTCAAACTCCTGACCTCAGGTGATCTAACCGCCTTGGCCTCTCAAAGTGCTGGGATTACAGGCATGAGCCATCACACCTGACCCCATGCAAACAGTTTTCGCAACATGTGCTTCACATAGACAAGAACTCAAGAACTGTCTATAAGTTCATATACATCAAAAATAAGGAGTCACGTGAAAAATATTTTGGAAATAGACGGAAGTCAGTGAAGCCAAAATATATGGTCTTAGACAAGTCTAACCTCTGTAAGCTTCAGTGGGGGATAATAATGCCTTGCTCACATGGCAGGTGAAATGATCAATTGAAACAATGTTTGGGAAGCACTTGGCCTGCAGGTTTCCAGCAAGCATGGGTTCCTTTTCCTTCTTTGCTGCACTCCTAGGATCAATAGAGGCAGTGTTGAATATGAGCCAGCAGTAGGCTGGTGCAAAAGCCTGGTGCTTCCCTGCTGTTAACACCCATCTTTGCCCTGGACCCTCAGGACACTAATCCTATGGTCATAACCAGTTCCGTCATTGCTTTGCTATTTTCTGCAGTCAAATTCCTAGCTTCTTGGGTCATCATTCCTACAGAAATCAATGGGTGTAACACAGGCCATAAGTCACAGGCAGCAATGGAAAGCTCTGAGTTCCTCCAGAACGAGAGTATAAAGCCAAACCAAATAAAACAGATCCCTTCTAAAGGGATAAGACAAAAGCAAAAAGGCTGAAACCCAACATTATGAAGTTCAAGTTTCCAAAGCATGAACACACTAGTTGCATGATTTTCCTTTTAACTTCAGAATCTTAAACCAAAAAAAAAAAAAAAAAAAACTAAAACAAAACAAAAGCAGTTAATAGTTTCCTCGAAAGAATGAAGTTTCTTTTTTTAATAAATAAATAAATAACTGCTAACAACTATCTCGGGAGTGATTCAGGCACAAAGAAGAGGAAGATAGAAGAGTAAGTATATTCTCAACATTATATTCCAATAAGCACACCACATTCCAGGGCAACACCTCTTAGAGCCACTGCTTTCCCCTAGTACCACCCCCAAATGTATTTTCTGGCTAGATTACTTTCACCTTGTCCATGACTTAGAATTATCCTTTTTTCAATTCCCTAACAAACTTCTTTTCTTGAGTAGATTTCTATTCATGTCTAGCCAGCCAAAAGGGTGACCTTCAATGACCTTGCCTGAATTTTTGGTGCTTGGGTCTGATAAAATTCAAATATATTTCCAGAAAAAATGCTAAATCATTAAAAACATACCTTATTAAAATATTCTGGGATAATGTGATTCTGCATTCTTTTTGCTTAAACTTTCCATATGCATTTTGGTTAACTGCAGTACGTGTACCTAGCATGCCCCAAATGGGGAAAACAAAGTCTTTCTCAACCTCTGTGTTTACAAGTTATTTCTCCTTTCTGGGGAGAGAAATTAGGAAGCTCTAGAATTAACATTCTATAGCTATAATTTCTATGCTATAAAGATGAAGAAACTGAAGCCCAAGGAAATAAAATGCTTTGTCCAAGCCTATACAGCCTTTCTACAGTTCTTGCCAGAGGATAGCTGTCAATTTATTTTGGATTCCTGTATGAAGAGCATTCAGCTTCCCCCAAGTTAATGGATTATTGATTGATGTTCAGAAAAATGCACAAAGAGGTTTGCTGTGTTTCCACTGTGAGAAACTCTTTTACTCCTAAGAGCATTTGGGGCAGGACAGTTCTTCACACAGAGGTCCTAAGAGTTTCAGGGTGTTAGCATTTCCAGTCCAACAACGGGAAGTCTAGCATTTCCAGTCCACCTAAAGAGAATTCAAGGATCAAAACAATGAGAATCCTCACTCTCCTCCCTACCATGTCTTCTCCTGGGTCTTCTATAATACTCTCCTCACTAAATAATCATTTCTTTCTTTTTTCAAAGTTTCTTGAGCATCCAGAAATAGCCTCGAGTGATGTTTATTCATTCAGTAGCTTCAGGCATATGGTGCAAGATGAAGCAGGAGGCAACTAGGCCCAATGTTTTCAGAACTCCTCAGGACACCCAAACAGCTATTTGCTACTTACTTTGGGAGGTGCAAGAACTTGCTTACCACTTTCCTTGTCTTTACGGTAATCACTCCCCAGTAGGAGTGCTGGCGGGGGCTGCTTACATGACAGGATCTCCAGAGATCACCCAGCCCAAGAACTTCCTTGCAAAATCAGACCCTAAATGTGAAGGCTTCAGCCCAAGGTCAAACAGCTCATCCATTGCAGAAGGAGATCTTGGCATATTCTTTCTTCTAGTCCCAGAGGCAGCCTTCCCTTATGTGACAGCTTTTCCAAGGGTTATGCTAGTTATGTAACTAGACTAGCTCAGGGTTCCAATACCATTCGCCTCATAGGAGTTCTGTACTCAGGCAGTTATTGCCTGCCCCTGTGTGAATAAGATCAGATCACCTTTGCTCCAGGAAATCACTCCAATACAAGGAGATGGTGCTGTGGAGCAATTCAGAGCATGGACGCTAATGTCTGAATGCCTCACTTTTAAGCCAGTGCAGACTCTTATTCTTGGGCAAGGTGCTTAGCCTCTCCATGCCTCAGTTTGCTCATATAAAAAATGGGGGCAAATTAACCAAACTATGTTACAAGGATTAAATGAGGTAATGATTCTAATGCACCTACAATGGAGCCTGGCACATTACAAGGATGTGTTAAAGGTTGGTTATTGTTGTTATCATTGTCATTGTCAACATCATTGAAAATTATATTGTTTTTCCTTTGCTGAGAATTAAACCAGGGAGAGAAAGCAGAGCTGGTTCAATTTCTCCCACCAGCATGAGCCAGAGGAGGCTCTTCCCTTGGGGACATAAGCAATAACCTTCAATCGATGGCTAATTCAGGTTCTGCTTGAGTCTGAAGATAGGTATAGTAATATATAAATTCAGCATACTTAATTTTGGTAATAAAAATTAAGAAAAACTCTATTTTTTAAGAGTGAAGTACCAGCCCACAGCTCTAAACTAACTTTTCTCTTTTACAAGACCATTTTAACTGTTTCTCCTAGGTAACAATCATTTAACCAAGGGCCTAGAAAGAAATAAATTGTGGGTACTGCCTTCAAGGAGGCTTTCTTAAAAATTTATTTTTTAATTGACAAATAGTAAGTATACATATGCATGGGGTACACAGCAATATTTTGATACGTCAGGGTGATCAGCATATCCATCATCTCAGATATTTATCATTTCTCTTTGTTGGGAACATTCAGTATACTCCTTCTAGCTATTTGAACTCTATATTATTGTTAACCATTGTCATTCTGCAGTGGTATAGAACACTAGAACTTATTTCTCCTCTCTAGCTGCAATTTTATATCCTTTAACAAAACTCTCTGTATCCCCTCCCCCACTTCTCCTACCCTTCCCAGCCTCTAGTATCCTCTGTTCTACTTTTTTCTTCTATGAGATCATCTTCTTTAAGCTTCCATGTATGAATGAGAACATGTGGTGTTTAACTTTGTGTTCTTGGCTTATTTCACTTAACATAATGTCCTCTAGTTCCAACATCCATGTTGCCATGAATGACAGGATTTCATTGTTTTTTTTTATGGCTAAATAGTATTCCATGGTGTAGATATGCTACATTTTCTCTATCCATTCATCTGTTGTTGGACATGTAAGCTGATTTCCTATCTTGATTATTATGAATAGTGCTGCAATAAACATGGGAGTGCAGATGTCTCTGCAAGGAGTCTTTCTAAAGAAGAATTTGCCGCCTTTTTTCACATTTGTCTGAGTGTCATTCTGTGACAGGTTTGGAATCTTGGTTAACTAAATAGGGCCAGGGCTGAAATCCTCCTGGTTTCACTGGCCCTCCTGCTGTCTTTCCTGCAGTCCACCAGTCCTAAGGGATGGTTCCCGAGGCTTCAGGCTGTTTCCAGTTCTCTTTAAGCCTGGTCAGCTGCTTTCTGCTGAAGAGTGGAAGGGTATATTAAACATGTTTCTAAATTTTCTGTATCCTGATGCTGTGACATCTGGGGTTGTGCTGACCCTGGAGGGACTGCCCCTCCCTGGGTTAGCCAACTCGGAGGGACAGTAAGTGGCTCACGTGGGAGAGCGCATCTTTCCGCTGCAAACCAACCAATCTAGAGTCACCCCTAACCACTTCCTTTATTGGGCTATTTCTCAGGGCCACCATCCACCTGCTCTAATCACCCCAGGGCCAGGTACCAGACAACTAGGAACAGTCCCTATGCCCTAAAGCTCACTGAAATGATTCAAAGCCTGTTTACCCTGTCTTGCATTACCGTTCCTGCAGAAATCACAATAATGTCTGCATTTTCCCCTTGCTCCCCCAGGCCCCTGACCAGCCCTGATGCTTCCTCATATGCCCCCACTATATGAGAAGCTATGCCTCCTCTTTTATACATGGGGAATTCTTTATCATACCCCAGACCAATTAAATCAGAACCTCTAGAAATATGACCCAAACTTTAAGATGTTTTTTTTTAATTCCCCAGATGATTCCAAAGTGTAGCCAAGTTTGAGAATGGGTGCTTTAAAACATCCCCATCGACAATTTCATAGTATACATTTCTAAGTCAAAAAAAAATTGTTCCCATAGTCATTTCAAATACTAAAAATACGGAGGCTATTTTAACTTAGAATCTTACCCTCTTCACTATTTACTGCCACTTATATCTACATTTATGCCTCAATTGCATAACTATCCATGAGGGAGATCAGATTTTGCCAATAAAAAAGATTTTACCCAACACAGTGAGGAACTTTTGGTGAAGAAAGGGTTAAGATGATAGCCAGCCCAGTTGCATGCTGGGAATTGTAGTACAATAGTAGTGCCCAGCCAGTGAGGCGCTACCAGCTCCAAATCAGCTCACAGCATCTCTCATTCTACACAGCCCATCAGAGGGGCAGTATCCAGCAGTGGCTAACGCTGTGGACGTCAGAGCCAGGACACCTGGTTTCGATCACAGCACCACCTCTCACTAGATTCAGGACCATGGGCCAACAACTTAATCTCTGACCCTGTTTCCTTTTCTGCTAATATAGGGGAAATAATAGTAATATCTAGCCCATGGCATTGTTATGAGGATTAAGTGAGTCAATATATGTAAAGTGCTTTAGAATTGCAGCTGGCACATAATATGCATTTTATGAGAGTCAGCTTTCATTATTATTACTTCTGAACTCCTGTCTTGGCCCAATTTCTATTCTCATATACTATAAGAGACAAAAATCCCCTGATTCCACAGTTAGAACACCAGAGGTTAGCTGTCCTTGGCAAAAGTATTCATATCTGTCTAAATTGTCTTCTGGTCATTTCTCTTTAAGACCATGAGGTTGAGTTAGGGGCAAAGGTCAATGAAATTAGCTATCAGAGCCTGGTGCACCTACTCGAATGAGTGTCCCTGGATGTCACCTGCCCAGCCTCTGCTCTCTCTGCTCTGACAGCAGTACCCAACTTGCCTTCATGGAACCACCTCTCTCCCACCATGCGCAATCTTGGTGAGATTGCCTGCCCAAAGTGCTCCAATGGGCAGGGCGCCTGACCCAAGCTCAGTCCATCATACTCTATCTTTTGGGGAGGACCATGGGGATAAGAATAAATTGGACTAGATCTGTCAGAGCGCATCATCCATTAGCTCCTGCCACATATATTCCCAAGTTCTCACAAGTTCCTTCATTCAAATCCTGCTTAGTCAACCCCTCCTTGGATTCTGTGAGTCATTCTATCAACAAGGCAACAAGGTCCTTTTACACTTATGTTGGCAGAGTCAGTGTCTGCCACTTGCTACCAAAGAGCCCTAATGACCTACTACTGCTAAATAATCTTAAAGATCGTCCCTTGACCCCCTTCCCATTTATTTCCAGTGGAACTATCAGTAGTCAAATGCCACTTTGCAACATTCTCTTCATGTACATCGTCACTCATCCTAATATCAACAATGCAGAAATAGTATTGTTATTTTTACTTTATTAATGTTGCAAATGAGGCACAGAGAAGCTAAGCAACTTGCCCAAGTTCACACAGCCAGTGAAGAACAGAAACAATATTCCAACAAGTCTAATTGCTAACTTCAACCAGTAAGTGAAATTTATTGGAGTCAAGATCATTTCCCTGCCATTTTGGACTCCTGGATTGGGAAAGGATCTTCAGCATCCTCTAAAGCAGTTTTCCGTCCTTTCTTTTTCTTTCTTTCTTTTTTTTTTTTTTTGGTTGTAAACTGAAAGAAGCACAATTTATATCAAAATTGTGCCTACATACATACACAAAGAATGGAAACAAAGGCTTCACAAGGCAATAGTTATCCTTACTGATGCAATATGCTCTAATTTTTTATTCAAAATGATTTTACTTTTCAAATTCTACTTGCACTCACTAGGTTGATATTGACGTCTGGACCCACTATCATATCTGACATGCAGTTTTGCATACCCTGCTCTGTTGAGAAAGCTGCTTAAAATGACACCAGTTTGCATGTCTGAGTGTTTGTAAAAGGAGGCAAGGCCATGCTTGATCTTTTAAGCCTCCCAATAGTGATTTGTTTACTTGCACAATGTGTGTTTCCTAGGCCACCACACCAGCCTGAGGGGAAAACTGGGATCATAACCAGGCACATGCTGTTCCTTTCTTACTCTGCTTTCAACAGCTCTTCCAGAACCACCAGAAACCCCCAGCCGAGGACCCCCTTCCAGTCTTTCTGAGGATGCCCAGGGAACACTGTACATGTGCTCCCAAACATCGTACCTTGTCCCTCATTTTCCTTCTCTTCTGCCCTGCCTCTCTGCTGGGATTGTTTCCCAGTTCCTTTGATGTCTGCAGGGCTGTCACTGCTGCTGGGCCACCAAGGCTGAGCTGCTCCTGGTGAAAAATTCCATGACTTTGGTCTGATCCCCCGGCCTGGACAGGAGCATTGTTTGTCTTACCTCTTCAGCAGCTCCTGGTGCCACCATTGCAGAGTGCATAGTTGCTTAGAGCACCTCCATGCCATGCAACGGTGTCCACCACACTAGAGAGAACTCCCACTCTGGTACAGGAAAGATTTCTCTTACTCTCTTGGAACTTACACACACTTAAGGGCAGTAGGCTGAAAAAGGTCTTCATCCTGTATTCACAGCCACCTTAATCTTCTCCACCTCTGGACCTTGTCCTTGGGCCAAGCATCGGTGCTCCTACTCTCATGCAAACTGGTGAGATTTCTTTTTTCCAGGAGGCAACTTGTTTCCTTACCATGGTTACACCCTTGACCAGGCCACAGTGTATCATCCTGCTCAGAAGTGCCTGCTTCCCAAAATGAATATATGCTTCAGCTAACCGCATTTTCATTTGAGAGCTTTGCTTCCCAGGTCCCAGGAGTCACATGTTCAGAATTCAAGTCCTGTTGCAACCATGATGAGAATGATGGTGATGATGGTGATGATGATGATGATGATGATGGATCTTTCACACGTATCAGACTGCACAAGAAGCACTTCTAGATACATTATCATGTTAAATTAATGACTCTATCAACCCAAATGCCCATTGATGATAGACTGGATTGGGAAAATGTGGCACATATACACCATGGAATATTATGCAGCAATCAGAAATGATGAGTTCGTGTCGTTTGTAGGGACATGGATGAATCTGGAGAACATCATTCTCAGCAAACTGACACAAGAACAGAAAATGAAACACCGCATATTCTCACTCATAGGCGGGTGATGAAAAATGAGAACACATGGACACAGAGAGGGGAGTACTAAACACTGGGGTCTATTGGGGGGAAAAGGGGAGGGCCAGTGGGAGGGGGAGGTGGGGAGGGATAGCCTGGGGAGAAACACCAAATGTGGGTGAAGGGGTGAAAGCAAACAGAACACACTGCCATGTGTGTACCTATGCAACTGTATTGCATGCTCTGCACATGTACCCCAAAACCTAAAATGCAATAAAAAAATAAGAAAAAAAAATTAATGACTCTGTGATACATACTATTATCCTCATTTTACAGAGGAGAAAATTGTGACTTAGGTAGGTTAAATCGGCCCATGGTCATATGGCTGGCAAACTGCAGAGCTCAGCTGCAGACTGGGCATTGAGCCTGCCTCAGCTGGGCATCCTGGCTTCCCTGGGCCTCCTTCCAACTCTGCTTTAATCCTTTCCAAGCCCCTCTCCCCAGGGTCCCCATTGTGATCCACAGGTGGGTGGCCATACCTATCTGAAGGCCTCCAAGATGGTGGAAACTCCTAAGCTTCCACCTCCTGCTTCCATCTCTGCACTCCCTGGGGCTTCCTGGAGGGTAGGATGGGAAGCATTAACAGCAATAGGGCCTCCTCTTCAGGCTCTCAAGACTTCAGTGTAGCAACCTGCCTTAATCTCCCCAGGTCCCTCCTCAGATCCAGTTCTGGAGCCAGGAAGTGGTTTTTCCTCCCCAAAAGGTGGCCAGCATCCTGCATTACATGGTTAAATTTTGCCTGACCTTAGTGGGTGTTTTTAATTGAATAAAGAATTCAAGTCTGGGTTTTAAATGTCATAGAAAAAGAAAACGTTACTGTCTTTTCAGAATGCCCATTGTAATTTGCCCTTAGAGTTTCTCCTCCCCACCCCTCCCTTCCCCAATGGTCCTTCTCCCCCTTGAACTGGCAAACTGAACCGCCAGATAAATACAGCTGCAAAGTGAACAGTGTGTGTATGACTTCTTCCCCTCATTCATCTGCCTTCCTGGCTTTACCAAGTCTAAAGAAAAAGGCAGCTCACCCCTTCCTTGGCTGTGCCTTCATAGCACAAAGCCAACAGCCAGTCAAGCAGTCTTCATGATTTGAAACATTTGAAAGTGAAACGTAGAGAATGACTTAGCCCGATCAATTCCATCAGTCATTTTAACCACGTTTCTGCCATTGAGTCTCGCCCCGTGCAGGGTGTTGGCCTCTGTGTGGTCCCTCCACACCTCAATTTCTCCATCTGTAACATGCAAGGATCGAATCCAAGACCTTTGAGGTCCCTGAAGCTTCTCAGGGTCTTCATTTTGTAATTACAGAACACATCATTTACAAGTTAGATGATTTAGGGGGTGACTTCAAATAAAAACGATCCTCCATAAAACTTTTACCACATAATTATTTTATGCAGCAAGTTTCCACTGGGCACTTGAAGCAGGGTTCAATTTACAAAAACCTGACTTGCAGCCAATTTTTAAGTGACACTTACTGTTTAAAGTGAGGCTTGCCCAGAGGTCACAGTTTCTAAAAACACTGTCCTCCATTCCCTCCTCCACAGAGTCCTTGATGGTGAAGCATTCATAACACACTTTCAAATCATGACTTCTCTTGAATGAAGAGGTTTTCTGTTTCCCTTCTGTAAAGAAAAACACCACACAGTATTTACAACCCCACAAAAACTGGCTTAATGATAATAACCTACTGGTCATTTTGTAACACAAACCAGGTACTATCACCCCTCTGCCAGATTCTGCAGAGGCGTGCCATTGCTCTGCAGATCACGAGCTGGACTTGATGTATGCTGTTCCTTCTAGCTGGAGTGTTCTCACCAACCCTCTCTGTTACTCCTCCTTACCTGAGAACTCAGCTCAATCAGTGCTTCTTCAGGGAATGGGCCCCTGACTTCCTTGACTAAGTCAGATCTCTTTATTAGAACTGCAAGGTGGAACTGAAAGTTTATTTGGCTGAGCATGACCATGAATGGAGTGTACACTTGCTGTTGCTGGCATAGGCATCCGGGTTGCCCACTACATGCACAGTGCTACATAGGCCCTGGGTTCCTAGAGGATCTCTAACTTCATGGACCTTGCAGTCTTCTGGGGTAAACAGACAGTTATCGAATGCGAGAATGCACATGAATGCCACTGTACCCCTCAAAGAGCTTACAGAGAACTGAACAAGTGATTGAAATGAGCATGGGACTAGCTGCATGAGCAAAAGGGTAGAATGGCAATGCTGTAAGCTCTGATGCAGAATGAGGTTATGTCAAAATCACCCATTTGCTCAAGCAGTCCTTTTAATACTTTCAGTCTAAGAAGCTAGAGGAGAGAGGAACATGGCCTGATATCCCAGGCTGGCCATGCCAAGTTGCAGGTTGGCCGCCTTCACCATGGTGAGATAACCAGGGGTCTGTTTTCTTCCTCTTCCTCCATCCCAAGAGTCTTCCTACTCTGTTGGACTAAACCACCCCACCCCAAGACCAGGGCCTCTTGATTGCTTCTTTAAATGAATTTTCTTTTCGAGGGCCCACCCTCTCCTCTCAAGTACATGAGTAACATAGCCAATCATTTTCATTTAATTCCAGAATGTCTCTGCTATCATCCCCATTTTACAGACAGGAGAGTAGATTCAGCGAGTTCACAGCAGACCTGGGTTCTCAAAGCCAGGTGTCTGGTTCTTAGTCCAGCATTTCCCCCACCTTGTTACAGCCTCCGGGCTGAGCCAGGCGTTTTTCAAAGCCCAGGAAGCTAGAGTTGGCCGCCTCCTGCTGGCAGGGAGTTCCTTCCAGGCTTCTGGTGCTACTGCCAAAGCAGGGAGGGTGGGAGAATCAGAGGAGGGTAGATTATACACAGAGAGGTCCGCACTTCTGTTTCCCTTCCTTGTCAAGGAAGGAGGGAATGCATTACATGGGGGATGCAGGGGGGATAGGAAAATCAATCATTCATGATAGTTAATAAGTGTCAGAAAAGTATTTACTCACATTTATCCCCTGAAAGTCACAGTCTTCATCTGCTGTGATTTGTCTTTCCCTGATGGCATCAGCCAGGTGGGCTCAGCAAGAAACAGCAAAAGGTTTTATCCAATGTTGCAGAGAGAGTTTCATTTAACTTCATTTTTTTTTCCAGCCAGGGCTGGCTCCAAAGCTAGTTTTTCTTACTAGGTTGTTTGCTACATGCAAAGCCGATTCCCAGAGGTTTCTGAGATTGCCGACATCCTATGCAAGATGACTGCTCCCACCCACGCGCCCACCCACTCACTAATAAGACATAATGCCGTCCTATTTTTGGTAACAATTAAAGGGCCTCCCGGTGAAAGCAGAAAGCTGTTTATTTTCTGTGACATCACTTCGCTTTGCCTTCGAAGGCTGGTCTGTGCTCAGTGTTTTCGTGGTGATGCAAGTCGGCTCTCTCCTCCAGCAGTTGGATCCCTCCCATCTCACAGTACCTCACAGGTCTCTTCCCCCGAGCAGTGCATTGCTGGAGCGAGGAGAAGCTCACGAATCAGCTGCAGGTCCCTGTTTTGAAAAAGCAGAGATACAGAGGCAGAGGAAAAAGGGTGGACTCCTATGTGACCTGTTCTTAGAGCAAGACAATCACCATCTGAATTCCAGAAGCCCTGTTCATGGTTGGGGATATTTTCTCGACTGCATGGAATCAGAAAGAAGCAAAAGGATGGGAAATGCCTGCATTCCCCTGAAAAGAATTGCTTATTTCCTATGTCTCTTATCTGCGCTTTTGCTGACTGAGGGGAAGAAACCAGCGAAGCCAAAATGCCCTGCCGTGTGTACTTGTACCAAAGATAATGCTTTATGTGAGAATGCCAGATCCATTCCACGCACCGTTCCTCCTGATGTTACCTCATTGTAAGGCCCGTAAGCATTTTGATATCTAATTTACAATTTAAAATTTCCAGCCGGTGGATTTGGGGCTTTGCATGTATTCGTAGAAGGGCATGGAGAGAGAGAGATTCCTCTTGCTTGCTTGGCCATTTGACAGTGCTAACATTTGCTGCATTTAGAATTTTTGATTTTTTTTTTTTTTTTAGCTGCTGCTGAACATGCTTAGATCCCCTCAGCCCTGAACATTATCATAAGAAACCTGTAGCCGATTCATTTCTCTGACTTCATCTGGGAAGGAATAGTATTGTACTTCATAAAATAGTGTCAAAATAGTCACTGTTATGCTAAACCGGATTAACCTACGGTTTGTTCTGTGTGTGTGTGTGTGTGTGTCTCTTTGTGTGTGTGTTTGTTTGTTTTGTGTTTTCTGTTTTCTTTCAGATCCTTTGTGAGATCTGGTTTTACTGAAATCTCAGAAGGGAGTTTTTTATTCACACCATCGCTGCAGCTCTTGTGAGAAATATTTATATCATGACTATTTTTAATATGGCATATATTTGGATAAGCCTTCTAGTAAAATGATCTCAATATTAATTTTGTCAAATGTGATTCTATTTCTGAAAAGAAAAAGCAACAGTATCAGTACAGTGAGAGGTAGATGGGTTTGTTTGCGACTTCACCTAACAGTGCATGCAGGTTGATTCTTACGATGGCAAATTTATTAACCTGTCGTGCTGTCTACTTTCATGGCTATGTATGAAGTTGTCAGAATGTTGCAACAATGATCCCAATTCCATTCCACTATTTTACTTTCATTTTTAACTTGGGAACTTTGGTTCTTTTGCCCTGGAGTTTTTGAATTAGTCAGTACAGAGCCCAGCATAACATATGCGCTCAAGATGTTGTATCTTGGGGATCTGGGGCAGGCTGCTACTCTGTATGATTTACCATGTGGGGAAAAAAACACCTCCGTTCTTTCTAGGTAATTCCTTAAAATACCAATTCTCAAGAGATTGTTTTTTAATCTTATCTAATTTATAATTAGTTCCCTTCCAAGGAGGGAAAGAAATATTAATATAGGGTAGTGCAAAGGATTACTCTCTGCTCTGTGTTTTGAGTTGGCCACAAGGGAACCGCATATTCAGTCAATGCCTGAAAATATTCAAAAAAATAATATTTGACTAAGAAATCAGATCTGTTCACAGGCATAATGGAACATGTATACTTTGTTTTGATGTGTAACGTTTGGCTATTGGAGTCTTGGTTCTTAACAGCAGCATCACGTGGGGGTCGAGAGTCTCCCAGGACTCAGGTATCAGGCAACAGACTTGGTTTGTAGCTGAACAGATATGGGCAGAACTAGCCAGTTGTGGATCGGCTGAGTCTTGGCTATCTTAACTGCATGATTCAGGACTCAAGGCTCTCACTTGTTTGGTTTTTAGTCTGTTGGTTTTCTTGCCTTACTTGGCTGTTTTGGCTGTTTGAAGTTACATACACAGAAGCAAACAGCATGGAGTTGCCATTGGAGAGACAAGTGTTTAAACCTTACACTGACACTCATAGAACCTAAACATGTAATCTTGTGCAGATTACTAAGTCTCACTGAGCCTCAGTCTCCTTATCTGTAAAATGGAAGTGAGAACACATATTTCCAAGGTTTAAGTAGATAAAACACTTGGCATAGGGCATGGCGAATACTTACACACTTTATAAATGTCAAGGTTTTAAAATTTTACATCAAGCTAAAAAGCTAAAAGTCACTCAATCTATTGTTTTGTCCAAATGAAATCCTTGAACTGGTTTGACTGCTTCATTGAATTCACAAACTTGATCAGATGTTGTGACATTATGTAATGATGCTGGCTAATGTCCTTCTACTGGCTGATGTCTTCAAATGATTAACAATTGACTAGATATTCCTAAGGTGTTTATCTATTTGATTGATAGCTAGTCGTGTGATTGGAGAAAGTGTTAGATTCTTTCCCACAGAAAGTGGCAGCGTCTCTAATGCTGGGGTCCTCCCACAGAATAAGAATTTGCTGCCTCTGAGAAAGTAATAAATTGTGCTTATGGTGTCACTTGTTAAATAAATAAATGGCTCATTTAAAAAGCATCCTTTTGATATGCTAAGGCACCTTTCTTCCCCTAGGATAGTTAAATAGATCAGTCCTTAAAATTCAAGGAGTAGTGTCAGTCAACACTAGATGGACATTAGCTGTGGCACAGAAAGCCTGGCGTGATTAACCTAATCAGTTACCACATCTCCACTTTGTTTTTGTTGGGTGGACCCAGTCACGGCAAGCACAGATGCTGGACAATGTTATAGAAATAGTTACCGGCTGCTGCAGGGTAATGTGATTACACGTATTTAGAATCACAGAGGGAAGCCAAGGGACCAGTTTTTAAATAGCCCAACCGAGTGTGTGCCATGCCGGTGTCCCATGCTCCGAGTTCCTATGGAACATTCCAGCCTTTATTTCTAAAAGCAGTTCAGGTTTCAGAAATAACAAAAGGCGAGTAATTCTTGCCCTGTTTGTTCTCAGTTAACTGGGATGGGCTAACCTCAGCATGGTAGACTTGTGCCAGTGCTGATATTATGCAAAATTGTCAGGGGTCAGAGTTTGTCCCTAATCTCCAGAACCTTGTTCCTAAAGACTCTGTTCTCCATCCTTCCTGCCCAGTGTTCTCTGCTTTCTCTTATCCTCATGAAAAAGTCTAATAAACTCATGTGCACTGAGTAGGAAATAAATGAGAAGGCTCTGAATATCATAACAATTGTGGGAATGCATGGATCACAGACAGAAAGGTCTCTTCTGTGAGATAAGGCTGTCCAGTACCATGAAAACACCACATAGGCTGCCAGTCCCCCATTGGAACATGAAGACCAGAGGCATTGGACCACAAGATTAGGCCTAGATGGCACAAGTCTTTGAGGTTTGCAAAAATTCCAGCAGCATTTGTGATTGTGAATTACCACACTCACCCATCATAACGTGTGAAGGAATAAATTTCAGAATCCATTCAGCTTGATTGATGTAGGAAGACAGTTCATTGGTTTCTTGCTTTGTTGCTGCGAAGGGTTAAAGCAAATGTCCTATTTCCATCATCCACCCTAAAAATCTGATAATGTCGTTATGCCCCAGATGCTTTTTCAGAGCTTCTGCAAAAGCCATGATGAGAAAGAAGTACTTGTTGAAATGTCAGTCTGGGGTACTGAGGAAAACAGACATGGTATCTTAAGTTACATGCACTGTTTGGGAAAAGATCCTGGTAGGCCGCAGCTGGCAGTTTGTGTTGGAGAACAAGAAAAAGAAAACCCCACACTGTAGAGAAGAGAGAGAAAAAATAAAATTATTCAATAAAAATTCATCAGATTCGTTGTAAAAATACATTTTTTTAAAAAATCTCACTTATGGTTTTAAACATAACAACAAAAACCTTTCCCAAGCAAATGCAATTCCATTCACGTTTTACATAGGGCCAGTTTTGAAACATAATCAATGACAACAGTTATGCATTCTAGCTTGCTTTTAGTGATAGAAAGTGGTAATTTTAGTGAATGTAATTTAGAGAAGTGTGTTTTCACACATTACAGCCCTGTTCCTTCTCAACTACAGACTGAAATCCCCAATGATACAGGCTGATGATGGAAGTGAAATTCAAATTCAAGAGGATAAAATGTGGCCACGTTACCACCCATTTATAACATATTTTAATGAACTAAACCCCTGTAATTCCCAAGAGAGTTCTATTTTCAGGGAGTGATTTCCAGGGTAGTTTTAGTAACATGTTCCAACAAAACAACACAAAACAAAACACTGCATGTAAGAATTCGATGTGACCAGAAAAAATTTCTTCGTATTTTGATGGGATGTAGTCTTGTTTGAAACATGGAACTGATCTTTCAGCATCAAAGGAGGGGAATAGCATTATTTTAAAAATTAATCCACAATCAACACATAAATACATGATCCGTAAGAAATTAAAAACTAAAAACAAATGGAAAAGCAAAAGACATGAGCAAAAGAAGGAGTAAGTCCATCCTTACTAAGGCTTTATTATTTAGTCCTTCAAAATATAATTTGTCCAGGAAAAAATACTCATGGCCTCCTTTACCTTTCAAGCAATTGCTACCTTTTTCTATTCCTCCTTGTATCACAAGCTTGCAACTCAGCAGTCTTCAGTGACCACTCACGCCAGAACCATCAGCCAGGAATGCTTTTGGAGGAATTATTAGCTGATCATAGATGAGTATGTTTTGGTTTGTACCCGGCGGATGCCCCCATGATGGACGAAAAAGTAAAAATTTCAGTCATCTAGGCTGTTTGGTCTATAGTTTGCCCTATGATCTAATCTTTTACTTTTTAGTTAATTACTTCTTTTTGTTTTTACTTTCCTAAAAATAATTTGAACTTTTAGATCCAAGTTTCCATGTATAGGTTTGTTACTTGAAGCGAACTAATTCTCATAACTGCACAAACTAGTGCTTACTCCAAATGTTTTCTCTGAAAGCATATTTCATCCTTTCAGTTATTTAGGCAATAAAACTTCAGAGGTACCTTCTCTTTCACTGTCCACTTCCACCTGGACAAGTATCCTGTCCAACAGCATGAGAATCTGCCTCCTCCTGTTCACCGCAGCATCACTGCCTTAACTGAGGCTGCATTTCATTCACTATTTCACAGGCTGTGGCAGGAGCTTCCACGCCTCACTCTCTGCTTTCAGTTCCCATCTGATCCATCTCCATTAGCGCTGCCTTTCCTGAGACACAGCTCTTCATGCTTTCATGACTCCCTTGAAACAGAGAAAGCCCAGACACCTGAGCTGGCATCCATAGCATTTGTTCCATTCTATTTGTCCAGAGTTATCACTCACACCATTGACTCTACACACACACACACACACACACACACACACACACACACGCCCAAACAAGTTCCATTCAGATCACTGCAGGATCTCATTCTATGACCTCTGTTGATTCTCAAATTCTCTAGACTTTACTGATGTCTCTGGTACTGTGTGCCATTTGTTAGAACTTCGGTGCTTGTATCTGCCTTGTGACTTTCATGGAGGATCACCAATAAGCTGTGGCCCCAGACATGGCTTCCCATATATTTGTTGAATCCAGTTTATGTTTCCATAGATTTTGTGCTGAAGACTCCTGTGTTCCTCTCAGCAGATAGTGCTGGTTATGTTCACACTCTTTCTGATGTTTGGTGCACCCTATCTGAGTTCACATGAACTAATAATGGTGTGGAGGTCTGGGAAGTGAGCCGAACTAAAATAATGCAAGATGTTTGCTCATGAGGTTATGAATTCAAACTTCCTAAGCAGAGATTTCCAGCCTTCCTGATTTCGGAGGCAAAGCATCCAAATCTTTCCTTAGATGCATTGCTTGAATCTCTTTTGTCCCACACCGACTTCACATTTGGCCTCCCAGGGTTTTAGTTGGACTGCAAAAGCTGACTAGTCTCTCCTGGGAAGGGTAAGATTCTCCTTTATCCAGTCTG